TTTATACCGATTTTATGAAATAATCAAAAGGATTATTGCCTGCCCGCACTTGAATTTCGGAGAAAATTATTGTGAGAGACTTGTTTTGTTTGAATATCTCAAATTTTTCGAGACTTTAAAATAAAAAAAAAATACATCTCTAAAAATATCTTATGGATACTCTTTCGATCAATGTTTCAATTTCCTCACCGTTTTTGGATACCCATGAATCGATAAACAGTCGATGGCTCTTTCTGTTAATTCCGGGGGAATCGGGACAAACTTTTTAAACATTATTTAACTTCCTGGATTTTCTTCCACCTTACATCGTAAATTATTTTACGATTCCTCTCGGAATCTTATTTGACTTCCCTTGGAAGTTTCTTCAACCTTCGCTCGAATGAGTCTTCCATCTTTTCCCGCCAGTTTTTAACTTTTCCGGAACTTCAGGGATACTTTCAGATTTTGCGGATCCAGAATTTTGAGTAAGTTTCGATAAATTGAAGAATGTTTCAATAACTTCTGTTAAAATTCTAAAACCCGGTCCAGCGAAGTCCAGGGAACTTAAGGAAACGTCATAAATATTTTGGATGCTTCACAAGTCCAAAGAACTCCTGGAAAATTTAATGGTTTTAAGGACAGTTCCATAAGTTTCAGGAGAATTGAGAGCACTTAAGGAAGCTCCGAGCTGATGTTCAGATCAATAAATTTCAAGGAATCGCTGAAATTTTAAAGGAGTTCCGAGAAACTCAGGCAATTTCCGAAAACTTCAGCAATGTTCCGAGGGGCTCATGCAAATTTAAGAAACGTAAGGGAAGTTACATGAACATAAGCACATTGTGAGAACATTTTATGGGAAGTTCCGTGCTTGCAGTGTTGATAACTTTTAAAAATTAGAAAAATCGGGAAGATCAGAGAACTTTAATGCTGCTGTTACAATATATTCAAGAAAATTGTGGGAGCGCTTAATTTTTTTTGTAATCTTCAAGAAAGTCTAGAGACCTTCAAAGTTTATTAGAGATATTGCGGTAGTCTCATTATAATCAGGGAAGTATTATAATCCAAGTGTTTCAAAGATGATCAGAGTACTCCAAAACAGCCCGAGAAAAAATATGAAATATTCCTTAGTACATTTCAGGAATGTTCCGAAAACTTCAGGGGCATTCTGGGGTCTTCAGGGATGTTTTATGACCATTTGGAAAATTTTCTGGATCATTAGAACATCCCCCAAGAGCTCTTTCTTCCGGAATTATGTCCTTGTTTCATTCGACTGTTCCGTTAGCGCTCTGGCTTCCGACTACCTCTAGATTTTTTTTTCCAATCTACCTTAGGAAGTTTCTTCCGTCTTCTCAGTTCAATTTAACTCCTCCCAGAAATTTCTTTCGTCTAGTTCTGGAATTTTGTCCAGTTGTTTTTTTTTTTACTTCTATTGGAAGGTTTTTCCCGAGCTCCTTCTGGCTTCCCCTGTAAATGGCTACTTCTGGAATTTATTTCCGATTTCCGAAACTTTTCTGCCTTCCTTTGACTGTGAAATCCCAATTTTTCTGAATGTTTCTTTAAATTTTTGCCAGAAGTTTCTCAATTTATGTCTTGGAAGTCAAATTTCCTCCAGGAGAGCTGCTTTCTCCTTTCTTTGGATGTTGTTTTCAGCTGGCAGCTTCCTCCAGAAGCTAATTCAAACATTCTCCGGAGTTTTCTTCCGGAATTTTCCAATCATAGTCCAAAAGATAAAAAACTTCGCCTTCAAAAACGGCAAAACTTTAAAATTAATTAAAATAGTAAATACCGATAAATACCGATTTTTTTTTTAAATCTTTGATACCGATAAGCTTTAAAACATTCTGGTAACACTGATGCACTGCATAAATATAAGATTATGATTTATTCGGGCCACTGATCATTTCATACTTCCGTACATTACATTTTGTTACTAATAAAGACTTCTGCGGATTGCTTCATGTGGCTTGAAAGTTCTGTCGGAACTTTATTTGAACTTTATGGAAATTGGAAGTGATTTTAATCGTTGAATGCGGAACTTTTGGTTACTTGGGTACTGTTGCAATGGTGATCAAAACTATCACCGATTGCCTGCAAACAGCGCATTCCCTAACACATTCTTAAAAATCGAATTCCATGCGGTCCCACTGAACGGTACTCATTCAATTACGGTGTGTGGTAGTGTTCGGTCATCGGTATCAGCAGCAGCAGTAGTAGCAGCAGGAGTGCTTTCGGCGTGTAGCGTTGAACATTGTTCTCCAGTAACAACGAAAGGCTGCCTACAAGCAGCGAGCTGCAGAGCTCACATGAGCAACCATAGAGAACGAGGAAGTCCCACCGCTAGGCTAGGATGGGAATCAGTAGCTCGTCGTGCTCAGCTCAGCATTACTCAACCATCACGATAAAACGGTCCTATTCAAGACCACCATAAATTTTTTAAAGAGTATTATTTGTACATTTGTCCAGGTCATCAGTTCCCGCAAGCAGCTAGCTATCAAGGCTCAACCTGGTCTATAGAAGGTGTGGAATTGTAGGTGCCGAATGTATTGGTGAGATTAATCATATCGTCCGGCCATTTTCCAGAGACGGCGCTGTTCCACTGGTAGGAAGAAAATCCACATACATCCGGAGTGATTTGAGATTTGGGCGTAATTGTATTTGTAAACAAACACGTCAATTGCCGATTTTTCGCGAATAATAATTTGAGAGAAGTGGGAATTATTCGCTTTAGGTGCATATTCAGGTAAAAAAAAGTGAACGACAAGCTAAATAAATTAGTCAGGGACATTCATTTTTGTCCCGGAAATTATTGTTTAATATAGATGATGTTTCCCCGTACAGTTTTACCAATCCCCAGAAAGCCAAAAAATTCAAATTTGAGACAGAAAATTAGCTCTCACGAGCTCAATCTCTCAACATGCCATGTTATTTTATGACACCCAATTAGTGATTTCCCTTTCATAGATTACAAAATAGAGTACCTGACACTACAAAACATGCCTGGTACATCTATATATGCATTTAGATTAACATTCTAAGTCCCTCATTTTTTACATATTCTGCACAAACGATACTTTCTGCCCTGCCCCATTCATACAATTCGGAAGGAATTCCTGTGAGGGGTGAGCTATCATGAGTGCAGAATGTGTAAAGAAGGAGGGACTGCGGTTGCTAATCTAAATGCATATATAGAGGTACCAGACATGTTTTGCACTGCACTGTCCTCTGTGAACAATTACTGGAAAACAAATTACGTGCAGTTTCCGATAGATGCCACTGCCAACAACAGCAGTGACATCTGTTGGAACATGAATGCAGAAGCTTGACAAAATGATTAATCACCCTTGTAGTTGTAGGGTTCAGCAATATTCCCAAGTAACCGATAAGCACTAAAAAGGGGCAATTTTTCAGCTAACTAACCACATATAGAACTACTCATTTACAGCTGTACAGCTTTATAGATTTTTCAAATACTGATTTAAAGCTGAAAAAGGCGAAATAGCTAGCCTAGATAATGCCTAAGTATAGCTTTCATGTGGTTTTATATTATGCCTATATAGTACTGAAATAAATGTCAAAGTTATTGTAAGCAAGCACAGCAGTGATGGATGCTGGATTAAAGTTATCTCAAAATAAAAACAAAAAAAGGAAAGTCGATATCAACTGTCTCTCTCTCACACACAATCGTGATCAGATTACATCTCTTGCCTGCATATTTCAGAGAGTTTTTTTTTTAAATTAGTAACTTGTGAGTTTCGAACCGGTGTCTTGAATTCCTGATTTTTTTCTGGGGCGTGCCTCATCTGGATGATCTATACTGCCCATAATCGCATGTCAGTCCCATATGGATAGGAAATCAAGCAAAGATGGGACTGATATGCGATTATGGGTAGTATAGGAGATACAAATACACAGTCGCAAAACGTTGATGACATTCCACTCATCGAAAATATCTCGGAAAATATCAATTAGTGAATTGATGTGTAAACCAAAAGGTCGTATTCCTTTGAAAAATAATTCTATTAACGGAAAACAGTGATTTTCTTGCAAATAAATACTCACTCACGGATACCAAGGATAAAGAAAGACAAACTACTTTTTTCATTTTGTTTTCCATGATCCGTACGTAAACTTTCATTCGTGAGAAATAAAACTGGTTTAACTTTTTTCCAAGCAATAGACTATAAAGGCACACATGACATTTTCATTCGCGCGGCATCTTTTCTGAAGCAAGCAACTGATCTGACAGCTTGATCGTGCATGGCGTAAAAGTGAGAGTGAAAACAAAAACAATCGCCATATAATTCGTCTCTTAAAGCTAGGTAATTCTTCAAATAATAACTTGTTATAATATTGAAAATATGCTGGAAATTTATGAATTGTTGTTTTGTTGCAGGAAAAATGTCAGTCGACAATTATTGCATCGTACAAACTTACGAGAATGGAGACCACTTCTTGTCAGTTCTTCCATCCAAGTGGGTTGTTAAAAACGGATGGAAAGATGTTGCATCCACCTCCAAAAACTATCAGCAAGGTATCGATTTGTGCTACTGGCCAAAGGGTGTATCAGGATACCGTCTCTTGGAGAAGACGAAAAAGGATCCCACCGTGAAAATCGACAAAACACAGCTGTCTACTCATCGATGCAAACAAAAACGGAGCAACTTCAGAACATATTCCGAGGTAAAAAAAAATCATGTAAATTTAACGATTCACCAAGCTAATGGTGGTTAGGGGCTGTTCATAAACTACGTAGACAGTTTAGGGGGGGGGGGGTTGACAATTATCTATGGCCCATACAAATTTAAAAACATTTGTATGGACAATTGTCTACGCAGGGGGAGGGGGGGGGGTCAAGAATCCCAAAAAACTGTCTACGTAGTTTATGAACAGGCCCTTAATAACTTTAGGCCTTTCGTGAACAAAAAGCAATGGAGATACAATCTGATACAGAAGAATATGAGCCTCGGAAGAAATTGAGAACTGACAACAGTGCTGCAGAGTTGTTCAGAGCGATTCAAGCATCAAAATTAGAGGTTGAGCCAACAGCACCGAAAGTCGATACAGCACCAGGATCATCATCGCACGTCGATCATGAATCTATTCAACAGCTCTTTGAGAGTAGTCCTCCAGCCGATGCTATACAATCCATTACTGATGAAATCTCAAACGTACGCTAGGAACTGGAACTTGTTCGATATGAGATGACAAGTCTTTCGGAAGGACAGGATACTACAAAAGTTCAGGTCACCCGATGTATCTCTCTGCTGTCGCAATTGAATGCCAAAGTTGACGTCTTGGCAGTTCAAAAACCCCCACCGGCTGAGCCGAGTAATCTTATTCAATTAAGGAAAGTTACGTTGACACCAGTGCATTGTTTGGATGAACTCGAAAGTCTGGAGCAAAACACAAGTAACGAAGCATTTGTTGAGTCGATCGTGGAATCTCTAGGATCCATTCATGGCAAGGATCGTTACTTTGGTGATGGATGGACCGTTTGTTTGCAGATAGTGGATTATTTCTTCGATAGACAATTCTTGATGGGATGCTCGTGGACCGGGACAAGCCGTAACAAGAAGAACGATGACGTAATCATCTCGAAAATTGCATTTCATAAGTATGTGAAAGTGATTGATTTGTTCTACCAAGTTGTGATCTATTCTGACCCAACGTTTGCTCTTACCGACTGTCAGAGATTCTTGCATCGATGCTTGAAAAATGCCAAACAGCGCTTCGAAGAGATTAAAGGAACACGAACCTCAGTAGCGAGAAAGCACTGCAAGCAAATCCGGAACAAACCAGTAGTCAAGATGGAGATACAGGACGATGTCGATACGAACCCCGATGTCCTTTTCATTGATCATGGTGGTGAAGGAGAAGGAGAAGGAGAAGAAGATAATTATGCTGTCAGCCAGGCGGAAGTTATTGTCGAGGAGTATTTGTTGCAAGAGCTACAATAATTTGATTGAAGGTAATACTACCTTAGCTTTTTAAAACTGTTTTGTTGTTGTTGCTTTAAACGTTTATTTTAAATTTGATAATTTAACGATTGCCATGTGGGTTTACTGTTTTAATATTGGTCATTTTAATTTCCTATGTTTTTTTCTTAATGCGATTATTTTTTGTCTGCTAATTCTTTATTCCAGACATGTAATCAGTACCTCACAGAACTATGATTTGTATGAATTAAATAAAAAGTTCATGAGATATGGATGACTTTTATTAAACTGAATTACAAACGTTCGTTTGATGGCAGTGTGTGGTGTAAAGGAATAAATACAGTTTCATTATAAACACTTACAGCAACTAGTTTACAAAGAATGTCTTTAACTTCAAAAGCTTTTGTTGATCTAAACGTGAGATTGCAAGATGTTTTAAACACATGAATGTTTGTAGACGGAAAAGGACTATCGAAAAGTTCTTCAACTGAATATAATTCTGTACCGCAAATTTCATCTGCGCCTGCGAATTCCATAGCAACAATGCGTCTATTTTTTGTGAGAAACCACTTATTAGCAAAATTGTTGTTCAAAGTAAAGTTTTCAGATAGTTTAATACAAGCAAATTTAAGTGGATCTGTTTTAAATGCATACATTAACAAAGGATAGGTTTGTTTTGAAACATTGGTAGAAGAATTTGAATAATTTCTTTCACTTACTGTTTACTGTTGATAATTTGATGCAAAGGAAGCTTTCCTGATCTAACCATCTTTTTAATGTGGAACAAATGGTTTTCGAACGGGTTTGAAGAAATAGTTGATAGAGATCCAAAACGAGTTACTTCATCAACCACGTGAACTAAGTTGTGTGTGTTACTTGTAATTGAATTGAATAATGTATGATAGTTTGAAATGAACTGTTCGAATAACTTTTGAGCAACCGGTAGAAATCTTCCGTAGTAATCATTAGAACAAATAATAACTGCACAGAACAACTTGATGAAATTTTGATAATGATTGTCATCAACAAAGTGCTTAAGGATTGCAACGCCAATATAATGAAGAAATGAAGCACATTCTGATGCTTTCCAATGGGTTAAGCAATCGATGCCATGAACTGCTCTGTGGATTTCAACTGGCAATTTTATTGACAGTAAGATGCCTGTCATTGCTTCAACTACACTACTTGGCCATTTTCTATCATCGGACCCGTTATGGCCATCTTTATACGCTATTAATAATCGCTTCATGATACCTAGATGTAACAGATGCAATGAATCAGAAACAATTACATCTTCGACCATATCAATCGGTAGCTGCAAAAGTGGTGTGGTAACAGGAATTCGTTTGACTTTTCCATTTTCACGAATTTTGTATACTTGATAATGGCCTTCATATTCTTTGTTACGGAATCCTGCGTCGGTGCGTTTCTTTGCTAAAGTTTGTGGAAAGATATTATTACGAAGTAATGGTGAATGTTGGCCAATCGTGCAGCATTTGAGGCATCCATGAATAGAATTGAAGTTGACTGTACCTGTAGATATAAATTCATGTTTTTATATTTCGTTAGTTCAGAAAGTGAACATGATTTATACCTTTTACAAATGCCCTTGCAGGTGAGTCACAAATCATCGCCCGAATGTTCACATTTAATTTTATTCCATTTATATGAATGCCATTTTGCAGTATAGGTACAATTTCAGTGACAAATGGACTCAGGAATTGTTCAATCTTTTTTGGTTTGTTGCGACCGTAAAACATGCCAGCTATCATTGGTTTAACGTCAGGTTTACCATGGATATTAAACAGTATGGGCCAAACTTGATGTGTCCCATTCTTGAATATTGGTAAGCCGTCAATATTCACGTTTATACTAACTGTGCATGATTCCGATAAAGTATAGATGGTTTGGCGAAGACAAGTTTCTGCGAAGATACAAAATCATAAACATTATTGATAGTCATGACAACCAAAACCTATTCGTGTTTACCGACGCCTTGGTGCCAGTATTCACCTCCTTCAATGTTGATAATAGTAGGTTTGGTTCTTGGTGTACGAAGCAATCGTCTTGGAGAGTTGGGGAGGGTTCGATCATATTGAGCAAGTTTTTGCATTAAAGGCTTCATTGCATTTTGCGATATATTGAATTCTAAGCTCCAATTTCGAAGAAAAGTACTCAAACTCTTATCCTCATATGTATCGGCTTCTATCCAAACATCGTCCTGAGCTATTCCACGGTTTTCTGCATCCTGCAACTCAGAGTCAGATGCTTCATCAGGACTGTATTCATCAATACATTCGTTCTGTACATCTAAATCGTCATCAGAACTATGTTCATCGAGATTGAACAGTGCCGGTAGATCCTCTGTATACGATGAGGTAACCTGTTCATCCGAGAAATTTTCCTGAAAACTCGAGGGCACACTTTCGCACACCTTATTGTTTAGATATTCATATTCACACCCAGTTCTTAGTTTTCGGTAATTATTCACTTTACGACGGTAATTTCCACTTTTTAATGTTTTTCTCCATTTTTCAAAAGAATCCATTTTTGTTAACTACGGCTGGAATCGAAAATGTCAAAACCGAAGTGCTCTCAAGGCGAATAATAAGCACTTTACAAACATGTAATGCCGCATTTGTATGCTTGTAAGCCAATATAACATCAGAGTTTACAAGCTCAAAACACTAGCCCTATATCTATCATTAAGACTAGAGAAAAAGTGCTCATATTGAATAATGCTTGTAGGCACTAGTATGTCCATATTATAACTTGCAAGTAATGCAAATGCAACTAAATGGTTCCTGAGCACTAATAATGTCTTATAAAGACCAATTCCTGACTTTGATTTAATGCTTGTGGTTACTTGGGTTATGCGTTATGCAGAAGAACGCCTCTTTATGGTTGGACTAAAATACATCCCTGTATACGTCTGGTAGTATTGGAGAACAATAGGAACGAGAGGATGATCACAAGCAGTATCGAGTTAGTTGCGATACGAATATCACTGGAGGTACACGGAGTAGCTGGTTGAAGCAAAACGAACCAAGAGGCATCGGGCGGTTCTACAATTTGGCGAAGCCGGTACGAGTTTTTATAAAGAGATCGGTGACTGGAGAGATGGAGGATAATTTCATTTGGATACGGTACGTAGAGGTTATTTAATGATTTATGTTTAAATATGCACCAGTGGAAACATAAATTATGGTGAAGCAAGTCCAGCTAAGAAGCTGCAGTGCTACGCGAGTCCGGTGTTCAACCGAAGCGCTAGAGGAAAAAAGCGAGTACAGTGAAATACTGAAGCGCATTAGGTACTACATTGCTAGGCCAGCTGATGAGCTGCAGAGCACAAGCGAGTCCGGTTGTAAACCGAAGCGCTACGGGAAAAAGCGAGTCCAGTGAAACACTGAAGCGCACTACCACATTGCTACGCCAGCCTACAGGCTGAAGAGCAAGAGCGAGACAGGTGATCTGAGCGCTGTTTGATAAGTGAGTGAGCGAGACCAGTTGTTTCAGACTGTAGCGCATGATTAATCTGAAATTTACCAGCAAACGTGGCTGAAGAGTATAGTGATGTCCGATTTTCTCAATTAAATGAATTTTTATTAATCGAGTAGTAGTAATAGGACATCACTACTGAAGAACCAGAGAAAAAGCATGGGAGTGTGAGTCACATGAATATTGTTAGCTCAGTCGTAGGTTGAAAAACAAAGGAGAGTGTGAGACTTAATGATAACTTCGTAGCACACATGGAAGTTACATTTAATACTACACCACTACACCCAAGGCTAGACCAGCTTTGCACTGAAGAGTCGATTGGAAAGCTGAAAGTATTGGTAATTGTATGATAGCTGAAACAGATGACCGCAAGGCGAGTCGAAGGGTTGAAGTGCGAGAGTGTTGCAGATCATAGTGCAAATTATTGGGGACTATCTGATAGACCAGAAAGCAACTGATTTAAGGAAATTGGACTTTAATAGACAAAAAAAGAAAACAAACGAAGTAAGAAGAAATAGTATGATTGATTGATTGATTTCCTTTATTTAAGAGATTTTTAACCGTAAAATGGTTCATCTCCGGATAGAATGATTATGATTTGTGAGACCAGGATTTAGAAGAATTAAAAGATGGAAAATCATGTTTGAACCAAAAGGACAGGGCAGATTATAGCATCAAAAACATGGCTGGCAGTCAATCCACTGAAGAAAACTATTCAATACGTGTGTTTGTAGATTTTTATTTGAGATCAAGTGCTGATTTAAAACACCGAGGGCAACACAGAGACCTGATTCTTAATCTTTTTGGTATCACATAGGAATAAGGCTCTATGGTCTAACTCTTAGCAATAAGTTAAATTCAGGATGTGATCTTGCAAATTTTATAAATGTCGTGGTGACATTAATGTTGCTGATCTTTGGTTGGCATAAATAGCTAAGGAAGTACTCCATAGAACACGAACTTGATTGCAGAAGTAAGCTTGTGTGAGAGCGTGAGCGAGTAGCACACTTGTCGCTGAACAGTTGCGGTTACTTATATGAAACTTATTACGGTGTACGTGTGCTCCTTGGGGTGCTCTTTGTATTGGAAAAGTGACTTAATTGTCCAACGTAAGAAATAATGCGGTAAAAGTCGATTAACAGTCTTAATAGGGAAGAGCACTACTGTGGCATCAGTGCCCATTTCCATCATATCGAATAGAAGCCGTCCATTATTTTAATGTATTCAATCTATTGAACGATGAGAAACTGATACAAAATAAAATATAAGGAGGTTTTATATTCTCCTAAAAAAGCACAATTAGCTGGTAGGATTGATGTAGAATGTGATGATCTTGATTGTTGGAGTATTTCGGAGCTACAGTTATGCTCATATTTTGTGTGTATGTGTCTTGCCTTGTTGATTTTGTTCTTCTGATTTGTTTCAGTATATGCAGGTGTGACGTGCGCTAGCCTGTGCGTTTGTTTTGTTTTGTTTGGTTGGACTGAAGAAGGGATGTAGAGTTCAGTAATATTATGCGTTATGCAGAAGAACGCCTCTATATGGTTGGGCTAAAATACATCCCTGTATACGTATTGGAGAACAATAGGAACGAGAGGATGATTACAAGCAGTATCGAGTTAGTTGCGATACGAATATCACTGGAGGTACACGGAGTTGGTTGAAGCAAAACGAACCAAGAGGCATCGGGCGGTTCTACAGTAGTGACGTCAAAAAGTTTGTTTCGATCGGCGCTTACATAGGAAATTTAATATGGATTATAGATTTTTTTTTGTACGGGAAATGGCTCTAATGTTGGCCTTTGGATCTAAGATTGGGCCCATCGTTAAAAATCTGCTATTTATCAATTTTATCCAGATGAAAGCGTCATTGGGAAGGTACTAATGGATATTTTTGGTTTCTATTTAAAATTGTGTCGATTGCTGAATTTATTTATGAGCCCAAATTAGGGGCATTTAGGCCAAAATTACATCCATTTCTTCTATGTTACCAACATTTATGAATTATCTGCAAGTAAATGTTAAGATAATTAATTGATTATTGAATTAGCACTCTGTACACCATGGAAAAACAGCCTGTTTGTGAGTTTTTGCCTGTTTTCAAGCAAGGAGTTATCATTAAAAAAAAAACACATTTCGCCAGCTGGTTTTTCCCGCCGACTTTAAAAATATAAACAATCAAACAAAACCATCATGCAGAACTAGCTAGGATTTGTTTTACTTCATATTTCACAAAATTGCATTCGAGTGTTATGACATCGTTTCCCGCAAAGTTTACATTTTGACATAGGATTACGTCTCTCGGAAACATATTAGGGATACAATAAAAGAAAAAAAAAACAAAATCGACCGCGTTACCAAACGTGGTCAGGTTTTGACCACTTATAACTCTGTCAATAGCGGATGGATTTTAATTCTAAGCAAGCCAATCGATTTGTAATTTTTCTACAAAGCTGCAAAATTACAAAATGTCCAACTGTTGCAATCGTTATCAAAATTATTACCTATTGCCTGCAAAAAGTGGTTTCCCTAACATAGTCGCTAAATATTGATACAGAGCATGTAATCCTACGTCAAATCTACGGTCGAGTCTTGGAAACAACCTCTTACTTTTTTTTCGAGTACAATCTTTATATTGTGACTTCACCGACGAGTATTTGTAAATGGGTCTTCTGGAGGAAGTTCCTGCAAAGAAAGAACCAGCATATTATTTGCCATATCATGCCTGACAGCACGACTACCAAACTCCATGTCGTGTTTGCCGCATCATGCAGGATCTCAACGGTTATTTCACTGAACGACGGATTGATGGTTGGACCGGTTGTGCAAGATGATCTCCATTACACTACACTTTCGCTTCCGGAGATTCGTAGACGTTGCAAATGTACAGGATGATAAAGGTTTGCCGTGCAGGTCTTCTCCTAACATGCATCTACTGGACCCAATGAACCCATCAAAACGTACAATCTGACTACCGTTACATATTGAACAAACTCTGCACCGTATTTAGCAACAAAGTGCCTTCAGCGAATGGGTCCTCGTGAAAGAATTGACAAATCTCACGAATTCGGCTGGCTTCATTCTGCGAAAATAGAGCTCAAATAGCGCTGAACTTCTGGCGTGCGTTCAAAGCTTTTGAACTGGATTCATCGTCGTCCTCCGTAAAAACTCTTGGTTTGATTTGGAAGCCAGCTACCGATACTACCTATTACATGAGCTAACATGGTTCATGTTAGTTTTCATGATAGGCATTCAAACGAAATCGAATCGGTCATGTGAAACAAAAAAATTGCATGTTGACCAAATTGGGTTCTAGTTTCAAATTATTTTTTTACAACTGTTGGAGGCAGAGTTGATAGGTTTTTTCAACTTCATCTCCAAATCCATATGCTAAAAAACGCCCCGGTTTATTCAATCCCAAACTCCTTCGTATCATGGAGCCAACTTTTCACAGAATACTTATTAGATTGCACATCTTTCCACAATCCTCCAATCATTTTCATCAGACTACATTCATTTTCTTAATAATTTCAGCACGCAAAATCATAAATATGGCTACGCATTCTTAATGGAACCGACACAATGTATAACCGTATTATTTCCCACCTAAAGTCCACCCAAAGCTATCAGTCTTAGTCCTATGAAAGCACATTTTCCCCCTTCTATGGGGAAATAAATGAAAAAAGGAAGGATCTTCCACGGGCAAACCTCCGCACCACTTGAGCTAACGAACACGACTCAAGTGGCGAGAAACGTCGTCGTCGGTCGTCTCAGACTCGCTACTTGTTCATCACGGCAGCTATCATCATCACTCATTCAAACATAAATAATCGCACACGACTTGTCCCACACTCTCCTTTTTCTTAAGGAAGGCTGGAAGTTGTCCGTGCAAGAAGCAAAATGGGGGGCAAAAAAAAAGGAGTGTGTTTGAATGCAGGCATCGCACAGAAGCCAGCCACTTGAGTTTCTCCGGCTGCTGGCTCAAACCATTCCCGGAAAGTCGTCATCGGCGTCGTCGTCGGCGTCGGTTCATAAATTGCACAAGTGGGCGCTCTCCCTTGTTGTTCTTTCCTTCATTTCGTTTCGTTTTCGCACATATCCGGTGCTCATTGAGGAAGACTGTGGGGAATGGTGAGTTTGGGGTGAATATACATAATAAATATATTACCATTAAAACAAGCACGTTTTCCACATATTCATCAACGGTGGCGGTCGGCGTCAAGATTCGAAACAAGGAGCGAACTCTCACAAGTCGAGAAGGATGCTGAGGATGACGGATAGTCGTCGACGGCGTTGTCGTAGTCGTCATCGCTTCACTCTTCTGCAACTTCCTTTGTTGAAAATATGAAAAAAAAATCGCTAGTATGAGTCCTTTAGCTGGCGGATTTTATGCTTATGATAACCAAATAAACTCCTTGGAAGAAATTTATGTGTGGAACAATATCTCACTTTTCCGATAACTCCTTCGTCCGTTGCCCATCATCCTTGCAATAAAGTTCTGCTGTACGGGTACATTGTTAGGAATTTTGCATTTTCTGCAGGAGGCATCCAAACAATGAATCCAAAGTCACGAATCCCCACACCCCTTTGCTTTCGTTCGTTCAGAACCCTTCGATTTCACAGCTCGTTACATTTCCTACTGCTTACTTGGTAGTAGACCGAATCGACCTAGTTAAGCGCTCGGCATTTTCAATAGTAACAGAAATATGCCATAAACATGTCGATTGCATCACTAACAAGCACACGCCTGACAACGTGGAATGTTCATTCAACCAGCGAGAGGGAGAGGGGCACGCGAAGAACGTCTTTTGCGATTCATGATTCGACCTCTGCTTTTTTCCTAGAGCAACGAAAAAATCCATTCCAGGAACGGAAGTCGGAAGCAGTAGGTAGGTGGATTCGTGGGAAAGAACCTCCTCGCACACGACATGCCATGCCAGCAGTAAATAAGAAATTCAAACTCAATGGGAAGGATGTTGTTATGGGTCTCAGCATTTGTCTATCGGTCGACAGGCGCGAGGGGGACGTACACAAAAATGGTTCATTGTCTTTTGGCCCACTACTGCCACTGCTCTGGCTGCGAAAGAAAACAAACTAATCGATGACCGATTCGGAATGGAATCTAGATAAAGGGGCTGTGAAAGTTAATGATTGACTATAAATATAAGTAATGGTACCAGTAAATTGAGTTTATTAGCCTCTTACGGTGGGGCTTATTTCGTTTCGTTGGGACAACAGTGGAAGTGAGGGCTTTGATTTTTGCACATTGGACTGGGGCTTCATTCTTACGTCAGTGAGAAAAGGCGATGAAGCATCCAATCTTTTCCCAGCCCAATTGAAAGGGGCAGTAAATTTATGAACCTAATTTGAGGAGAGTAGATAAGCTTCGATTATGAGCTATTTTGCTGAAGTCCTATAAACAATTTTGCTGATGCTGGGTGCCAGCAGCTCTAGTGCCCAATTAATATTGGTATTTATTTTTTTATTTAATAATTCATCCGACAAAGTTGTCTAAATGAATAAACTATTCGTTATCTTAAATAAAGTTCAGTTTTCTTAATCTATTCACAAATTGAGGTGTGAACATACCAAAATCAAACGCGGACTAGACGGATACAAACATACGAACCATTGCATAAATAGGCTGGTTCTAGCCATAGAGAGTACGATGAAAGCTCGGTTGCTACAGGGATTGGTGACGTAACATCCTACCTGAAGCACGAAAAACAAACAGTGACAGAAGATGAGAGCAATCGTAGCCTTTTGTAGCTTACGTCTTTGGTCAAGCATTTTGAGGTCAAGCAGACGTCATCTATCGGGATACACTGGAAGGTTCAAAGGATCACCCCACGGTAGGTCCCTGAGCGGAAGCCGTATGAATCTTTTTTGCACACGCTCGATTCGTAGGTTCCATGTTACGTCAGTTGGGGTCCATACAACTGAAGCATTTTCTAGGATCGGCCTTACGAGTGAATAATGCAATGCTTTTCGACAGTGTGGATCCGTGAAATCCTTTGCAATCTTAGAGATGAAGCCAAGTTGACGATTAGTTTCGAGTCCAATACGACACCAAGATCCGTCACTTGATCCACTCTGCTAAGAACAGTATCATAGATGTGGCATTCATAAAATATCGGGTCTTTGGACTGATAGAAGGTCATCACATGACACTTCGCGACGCTGATGACAAGCTTGTTCGAGCGGCACCACTGAATGAACATTTTAAGCAACCATTGTTCTTCATCAGCAGTTCTTTCGATCGATGCGTCATCGACTTTGGAAAGTACTCTATAAGATAGGAGCAGATGGGGGAGGAGGCTCATTTAAGATTACGTTGTCTATCACAGAAAAGGAGCGAAAAAGGGGGAATGGACTTAACGATACAGGAAGAAGTTGTTTCTTCTTGCAGAAAAGTACACCAATATTGTACAAGTTTGGTTGACACTTGGACAAATTGGAAGCGGTTGTCGCAGGTGACCTAAAAATCATCAATCTTTTGCTAGCTATCATGGGTCTCAGTTCAACATATCCTTGTCCATTTAGCTGCACAAGAAAGCCTGCTTTCTCAAGAGAGCAAAGTTCCAAGAACGATGGAATAATCAACACAAGTTACGAAAAATGGAAGACTGAAGGTGCTGTTGATAAACGAGCAAAGCATATTTATAAGTGTGTTTAAAAACCAATGTTGTGTGGAGCTCCTAATCAAAGAACTGTTCTGCTTTATCCAACACCTGAGCTCCATATCGTACTTGGAATCAAAAACGCAATTTACAAAGGTGTTGAATGTGTTGAAGGTAATTGTAATATCCGGATTGTTCAATAAAACAGTAACTTATTATTTATAAACAGTTTATTCGCACCGTAAATTATAGCACTCTTCTCGCGTCACTTTTCCAATAAACCAATCTACATTCATCGCTTCTTTTCATCGACTCTCTCTATCGCTAATAGCTCGGCTACAATTTCTTAACACGGCCGTCGCGATCCAAAGAGAAAATCGATGAAGAGAATCGATCAATGTAAATAGGACCTATTGAAAAGTGATGCGAGACTTCTCTCCGCAAATCCCTGCCGACCTCCTAGCGCCATGTTTTCTTCCCCAGTCTCCTTTTCCCTTCCCTTTCACTCTCTCTCCCTCTCTTCATCCAATGTCTTTTCATGTTGAGGTTTACCACTTACGTAGCACGGTGAGGGGCAAGATTCCACACCCCTCCCTTCTTTTAAATCAATAAGGGACATAATCGCTAAAACTTTTTGGATCAGCAAGCTTCTGTTTTGCAGGGACACCTACATCTTCACCGTATGATGACTCTTCCGTTGGTGCATCCATGTCCGCGTGCGTGCTTTGTTCTTCATCAACTGGTTGATTGGTCTGCTCTGGCATGCTCTCAGTTTCAGCCATCTGGAGGTGTGAAACTTTGCGCTTCAGCTGTTTACTAGAAGTTAGAAGTTAATTGTCACTTTCGATCTCGTTCGTCCCACCACAAGCAATAATGTTGGTGCATTATTCGAAGATACATAAATTGTGGTCCTTCTTTGAACGCCTCACCAAAATCTTGTCTCCAACAGCAATATCAATGTGATGTGCGTAGGGTTACCATATAGTATCCTAATGGAGGACATGTCCTCCTCTTTCAATTTTTTTTTTCTATATCCTCCTTTTGCCACAAAATGTCCTCCGTTTTAGTCTTTGCCTTTTTTCCAGTAACATATTTATAAAAAAAAAATTTCAAAGAGCGTTGTTTGTAGGGCACGTTTGTTTAATTATGCCATTTGATAGTTGGACCATGTAACCCGCCAGCCTGTCGAGCTTTCCGTTCACAACATGGGTGGTTTAAGCACCTCTCCCAAAGGGAGACCACCCAGCAGATTGCAGGTTTGCCTGGCCTGAGACCTTCCTGAGGATTGGGTCGATGTTTCCCGAATACGGGGAGAATGCTGACTGGCTGCGGGAAAGATTCGCCCGAGAAGATTTCCCGCGAATTCCCTAAAAATTACAGGTGCACAAGAACAACAATTTGTCCAGAACAGAAGTCACGTGAGCGGGGTTTTCATCACGGGCCTAACCAGAACGATCTATCGTACCAACTGTTAAGATTCGAGAGACGCCAGAGATCAGAATCGGGCTGATCATCCCAGTAAACTACCAAAGCGAACGGAACGACATGGAAACCCCCGAAGACGTTCAAACCTGAGAGCTTTTCCTAGTACGCTATCATAAGAAAACCATGTAATTGGGTGTTCAACGGTATTTATTTAGGGGAACATCACAATTTTTGCCCTTTACCTAAGCTCTAGGCGAGTAAGAGAGGTGACAGAGTCGGAAGAAGTATTAGTTTGTTTACTAAAATGAACCGCCCATTTTGTTATGGCAAGTTTTGCTATAAGAAATGCTCATCGTGTTCATTAGCAAAATTCACATCAAAGATTAATTAATTGCGTAGGAAATCAGTTTGGCACGGCATTTGTGACCAGCATACACCTTCCGGTCGTATGCAACAGGTCAAAAACTGTCCAAATCCACAGACAAAAATTTTTGTTTTGAGTTTTTGTATGGCAAAATAGTAAACTTTTCGTGAAAATTAACGGCAAAGAACTCACAAACACTGGGAGACCGTGAGTTCCTGCCCACCTGTCATTTCCCATCTCGAACCCATTCAGTGAGACTCTCACGGACTTTCGTTCGGTCTCATGCGCATGGACGATACAACGAGAAATGGGTTACATGCATGTACTCACGATTGACTACCTAGGGTTTTTTGTCGCTGCAGCTTGATGAGGAGACGGCGGTGCACGGTACCGAAGCTGCGTACGCACTACTTCGGTCCATAAACTATCGCGGATGCGATCATACGATGCTGATTGATCTCACTCACCGGAAGCGCGGGCTTACGCGGGAACGCGGCACATGCGTTCGTTCGTCCGTACCCAAAACCACGTGTTGCGTTGATTGTTCGGAATTCCGACAGATACCGATGACGGTTTCGTTTGGCCTGCCTGTCCAGGTCGCGTAGATTAACGGACGCGACCTCTTCCGACCACGTGTGCCTCGGGGATACTCCGAAATCGACAGGTAGGGTCAAAAGCGGTTTCTCACGAAAGGTGGTGTGGCAAATGGCCTTCGCTGCCACAAACCTATGGGGATAACACACGCGTACGCTAGTAAGTCGACCTATTTTGTAGTTTAGGAATTACTACCTTTACCTCATGAACTTCTGGATCCACACACTTTGCCGCCCACTGCACTGCACTAGCTAGAGTTTGCCTAACTTGTCTCTAAAGGAAAGGGAAATGTTTTAACAATCCTACTAGGGATTCTCATGTCGTTAACTACCTGTTTAAACACACCACGACACGATAAGAAAACTGACCACTCTCGCCTCTTCCACAAGTCGATTCGAATTGAACGATTCAAGCTAGGACATTCCTCAGTTGTCCCGGAATCGTGGAATTGTACGAAGTCCGATTTCACGAACTCCAAAATTCTCGCAATTGTGCACCTGATTGTTAGGGCTTCGCCGCATCTCTTCTAACGAGCTGTTCAAGTATCCAGACAATTTCTCTCTGAAATTCAGGGGGAGGGCGCAAAGCATTTTAAATGGAAATTTGGCGGATCGATGTCCGCTTCTCGACGTGGTCGCGTCGGTACGCTCAACAGGCAGTTACATTTTATTTTGCGGTTGCATCTGAACGCAGGGAATTCATTTTGTATGACAAGTGTAACTCAACATGAGTGGATATTCCTTGGCGGTGAACACATTCATGAATTTAATTGAAAAAACGAAACTTCATGCAATTTGATAAAATGAGTATATTGTATAAATATGAATTCTGAACTAACTAAATAAATAACTATCTATATGGAAAGCGTACTTGTTACAACCAGCAGTATACTACAGCTGTCAACAGCCCTATATTTAGGCTGTGGCATATTTGGTGAATTTTCACTTAAATTTGACAGATGGAAAATTTTCAAATAAACCTCCCATCTAGCCTCCCATTCTACCAGATTTATTTCTCACATACCAGCAATCAATTTTGACAAACTATTTCTCGAAAATCGGACGATCAACAACAGAGGGATTTTCGTACATTATAATTTATTTTCGAAGAGTCCAATTTAAGTGAAAATTCACCAAATGGAACACAGCCTTAGACTGTAATCCAATTGGGGAATTTACACTTAATTATGACATTTCGAAAAATATCTTATACTAATTGATCGAGATGGAGTTTGTCATTATGGATGGCTTATCTGTCAGAAATAAGTCAGAGTTATTTGAAAATTTACCCATCTTTAAAATGTAAGGTAAAATTCAGGAATGGAAAACTGCCTAATTGAATCCAACATGTGTTCGATTTCGACATTCTATTCTGATTCTATGGGATTTTAGGTTTTGGTTTAGAATCCTATACTGAACCAATGGTAAAATTAACAATTAGCTTAGATGTTCCATTTTCATGCTGGTTTCAATCTGCGATGCCATGTATCCTGATTATTAACAATAATAAAAGTTGGGATGGTTTTAAGGCTGTAAAGCTGTAGTTTTCATGCAAAACAGCTAGACTAGATCATTTCCAAGCATCAACAATGAATTATAAAGGCTACTTTGTTGCATATTTCAGAAGTATAACGAGAAGATGAATTGAATAACGACTACAAGTTATGAACAATCTCAATTGAATCTTTGAAATCATGAATTTTAAGAAAGCGCACAAATTATTGAAACGTTTGATAAAAACTCATTGTTCTCCATTAATTTTAAGAAAAGCAAACATTGTCCTCCTTTATCTCCAAACCTCAAATGAATTGTCCTCCTTTTCAAGTTTTTGATATGGTAGCCCTATGTACACGTCATTTTCCATCTGCATGGGGCAGAGAACTACTTCGGCCTAAGCGCCCATTTTGGGCGTATCAAGCAGAAAACATCAAATAAATTCATGATTTCGGCGTTAACAGGTAAATTATGCGTTTGGTACGATACTTTAGTTAATAAGCTACCGAACGAAGTCAATAAGAACGCGTGATATGAATGTTTGCACCCAGAACATCCCGGCGGCGCCGACTGGGATTGAACCCAGGCCTGCTGGGGTGAGAGATAATTACACTTACCACTACACTACTGGCGCTGCTGTGAACAAGACCTATCTTTAGGTAAATATTTTGGTTCAAAAATCACTCACTAGGTAGCGCTAGTGTGATTTTCATTTAGAATTGTTTGCCCTAACCTAACATCTTGACTAGAAAGAATGTTCCCGTCTTCGGTGAAGTTGTTCAGATGGACAAGACTTATCCTACAGTAAAGAGTTCAGTTCAGAATTCACTCACAAGGTAGCACTGGTGTATGAATGTCACACAACAATGTTGAATAGTTGTCGTAACTTAACATATGGACTAGATAGATTCTATCCGGTGACTGACTAAACTCTTCAAAGATTGTTCATGTGTTTTGTGATTTCATAATAGTCATTTTGCCCAGAATTAACTTGGAATTGTCCAAAAAACTAAAAAATAAGTCCCCGTCTTTCGGGCCAAGCGATTTTCCGCCTCTGCGAACCAACCAGCAACCGCGAGTGCAACCCGCTCTCCCCACTCCCCCTGGATCCTGGGAGAACACCGCCAACGCTAGAAGATATGTACTCGGTGGACGAGGGTTGGAACATGTTCGTCCATGTTACCAGCACTTTCCGCAAGTGCACCAACAAAAACGAACAGTTCGAAACTATCGTGAAACTGGCTATACATTATGGCGTCTAAACCATTATTTATTTATTTATTTATTTATTTATTTATGTATTTATTTATTTATTTATTTATTTATTTATTTATTTATTTATTTATTTATTTATTTATTTATTTATTTATTTATTTATTTATTTATTTATTTATTTATTTATTTATTTATTTATTTATTTATTTATTTATTTATTTATTTATTTATTTATTTATTTATTTATTTATTTATTTATTTATTTATTTATTTATTTATTTATTTATTTATTTATTTATTTATTTATTTATTTATTTATTTATTTATTTATTTATTTATTTATTTATTTATTTATTTATTTATTTATTTATTTATTTATTTATTTATTTATTTATTTATTTATTTATTTATTTATTTATTTATTTATTTATTTATTTATTTATTTATTTATTTATTTATTTATTTATTTATTTATTTATTTATTTATTTATTTATTTATTTATTTATTTATTTATTTATTTATTTATTTATTTATTTATTTATTTATTTATTTATTTATTTATTTATTTATTTATTTATTTATTTATTTATTTATTTATTTATTTATTTATTTATTTATTTATTTATTTATTAATTTATTTATTTATTTATTTATTTATTTATTTATTTATTT